GTGCCTGCACGGTCACGGATCGCCCACTCCGCTCACACACAATGCCCTAAGTATGTGTTTATTTGCATGCAGATGGTGGGGGCAGCGGGGCTGTTGGCTTCTTTTTTGCTTTATTGCTTTTTTGTTTTTTACATTTATTTCCATTTTTAATTATTATTTTTTACATTTTGATGTACTTACAATTTAAATTTTTATTTATGTTATTTTTTGAGGGTTTTTTTTCCATTTGACTTTATTGCTATCACAGAGGAGCTAACAAGCCCGTTTGATAGCATTTGGAGATGAAAGGTTCTCTTTATTGACCCCGTCACCTCCAATACAGATGTTCCAGCACAGCACTGTGCTCGTTCTTGTGTGACAGGAACGCTGCAAGTACAGCATTCCTGCCAGTGCTCACACAGAGCAGAGAATGGACATTCTGCGCTCTGCTCCCCACCCTCCAGCCTGATCTAATTTGCCATGGCCTCGGGTCCCCCAGAAGACCATGGCAGGCAGAGAGCCAGCTGCTGAGGAGAGGCGGAGAGGCAGTGGACAGAGAGGGAAGGGGAGTGAGGTGAGGGGGAGATCACTTGTACAAAAAGGCTCCCCCTCTACATTTAGCTGTGCATGCCCGAAATAGGGCTAAATGTAGAAAAAAAAACTGCCTGCCCGGAACTGCATATCCTGGCCGTCGGGCGATAGGAGTTCCACACCCCTGCAATATGACTGTACATTCTGTGTACAATCAACTTTAGATTTACCAAATCTATGTAACAGTAGTACCTACCCAAACTATCCAATCATACTATATCCAATTATATAGGCCCATGCACTACATAGTTGTTGGTGGGTCTAAAGGAGATTGTACAATCAAATTGTAATGTGTGGTGAGCTTTAGTTTTAGGTGAACAAAACATAAAAAGCAGCTCCATGTAGCAAGCAAAGTATAGGTACTGCCAAGGTTATTCTGGAATCATATGCAAGTCAGAAAGCCCTCTCCCTTTACCTCACTGTTAGTTTTATAAATGTCAATGCATTTTTATTCATACCTGGATTTCGAGTGGAACATGATTCAGTTCTGTGCAATCTCCCTCTCATATTCCTCTTTGTGTGGGCAAGGCTGTACTGTGCTACATTTTGGCAGGTTGAGATTCAGGCACTTTGAGGATGAGGGTACTTGCAGCTATAGGATCTGAATCTATTGGTGCAGCCAGTTGCAGAAGGCAATCACCAGTATGTAAATTTAAGGTAGGCTGTGTCCGCAAGTCAGTTTGAATGCAACATTTTCATGTGTGATTAAAGGACTATTAGCCACAGTGAATGAAAATTACATTTAGTCAGCTGCCATAACAGAATAAACTTCATTCACAGACTGGCAGCAACCACCAAGAAAAAGTTTCATGTGCAGCTGTTATGTAAAGACACAGGCCAGGCCTGCACAACTCTCTCCGTGATATATCATGGGATTTTGGGGCTCAGAAGACAATGGAGTTTTGCTGCCTTTGTGCATTCTGCATTGATGTATATCATTGTGCTGCACTGGAACATGTTCTCACATATAAGCAATTTTACATGTAGAAAGGTACTGTTTATATAGTGGAGTATCATTTTGTCTAGACTTTCTTTTGTTATTGCAGACCTTCGCTCCCAGAATAAATGTTTCCCCACTGCAACCCTTACTCTTCCACAACATAAAAAATTATTTCTTTTTTAAGACTCCAGCCCATCCTCTGGCTCCATTACTGCCTAGATGTGCATGATGCTTCGTGCTCCTGTAGCCTCCTGGGAAATCCCAGGAGGCTGCAGGAGCAGGGACACAACAACCAGAAAGCGAACCTGGTGGCACATCATAGTTGGCTGGCTGCAAGAACCCAGAGGAGGCAGCAATAACATCAGAGAGGAAGATGACAGCGCGGGACCCAGCCTGTGGCAGCCAGGCAGCGGAACACCGCAGAGCAGGGCTGGTGTTTGCTGGGTAAGTTCTGAAGAAGGCCCTGCAAAAAAAAACATATGGGGTGAAATTCCTCTTTGGAATGGGCCATTGGACCATTTCTCTTTGGAGTGGATATTGTGAAACTGTATCTTGTTCAAAATTGTCCTTGAGTTCCAGTCCTGGACTTTGCCTAGGCTGAGATGATGCCATCAGTCAAGCATTTCCTCATTTTCCTCTCCCCAGGGATCAGACTGCAACATTGTAACTTTGTAGCATGTAAAACATATTATTATTATACATTTATTTATTTTATGTAGATTTGCCCTTTTAAGGACATTGCCTGCTACTGCGAGCTGAGTCGCTGCCTTTCTACTCACAGTTCAGTAAACAAACGCCAGCAAAACCTACAGCTTTTTTTTTTTTTTAAATGCATTGATGCTTCAGGCTTTAACTGTCAGTATGAGCAATAAGAGAGAAATGACAAGAATGGGCGCTGGGAAATCTCCTAGGTCAGCAATCTGCAGGCATAAATCTTCAGTAACAGATGTGTACAGTTTGTATATAAGACGACACACTCTACAGTCAGGTTTTATAAATCCCTCTGCAACAGAATCATTAAAACGACCATTGCCATCATTGTGCAGCTTTCAAGGCCAAAACAGCAATTATGACTAAGCAGAGCTGAAAGGCTGTAGTTTCAGACTTAGCTAGTGAAATATATGTGTTTGTGTGTAATGGAAGTGCACTCAGCCATTGTTTGTTCACCTCAATATAATTTCGAGTTTAGAAATACCATTGGTTTTAATAGTAGTATCTGAGGTATTATTTACTTGCTTCGAAGAGCACGGGACTTGCACAACACTATTGGTTGGTGCCACTGGCATTGTCTTGTCATAATAACTGAGATAATATCCCCATTAAATTCAGAGAGTCTAACGTATAAAAGCTAATACTGTAGTAAGGAAAAATAGAGGCACTGTTCATTTTCTAAACTATGCAGTTGGTATATGCAACACAGCTATGTTCCAACTGTCCTCCTGTGAACGTTTGGTGTGTTCATTTGTGTTCCAGCATTCCCTGCTGCATTTTCAGTGATAACAAATTAGTAAGAGCCACTCACACGAGTCCATTCTGCCCTGCAGGGGATCTGTGAACAGATCTCCTGCTAAATCAGAGACGGAATGAATGGATGTTTGTATCCAATCAGTTTTTTCTCCACGGTTATAAACGGACCTATGTTAAATCTAGAGGAAGATGTAAAAGCACCTCCATCCATTTACATTTGATACCTACCTTTACATCCGCCTGTCCATAAACTTATATAGAGCTTCCATTCAAATTCATTTGAAAAGCTTGACAGGTGGCTCTCTACAGAACCCCATGTGGAAGAGGCCTTACGGTTCGTTCAACCCACATGCAGTGCGTTCCGGTCCGATTCTGGCCGGCTCACTTTTTTGTGGGGCAGGAGGGGGCGTGGCGGGCCATTGAAGTGAATGGCACCATAGCCATGCCCTCCGGCCGCAATGCGATCGCCCGCACATTGTGCCTGCAGTACGGCGCGATCAAAATGCTGCAAACACTATTTTGACCGCACTGGACCACAGGCACAATGTGCCTTGCGATCCCATTGCGGCCGGAGGGCGAGGCTACAGTGCCATTCACTTCACTGGCCCGCCACGCCCCCTCCTGAACCACAAAAAAAGTGAGGCCAGAATCGGAACGGGAAAACACTGCATCTGGTGTGAACGAACCCTGAAGGATTCAGCAGGGAGAAAAGAGCCGTTTCGTATGGCCATAACGGCCAATTCATCTTTGGATGTATTGAGCCTTTAAATGGTCGTTGGCAGCACTACCACGTTTTGAGAAGATCTAAAAACATAAATGTGTGCATTGGCTTTTAGTTAAAACATTTACTCCTGATTAGGACATAAAAAAGATTACATCCTCCTGTAATCTTGCCCACAGAAGCTCAGATGTCCCAGTCATTAGCATACAGTTTTCAGTATGCCAGTGGTTTGTGTCTTAATGAAACCCTCTCACTGGACCATTCATTTCAGCAACAATTTTCCCATAAGACTATGGGCATTAAACATATTTTATGCATGTGATTTACCTGTATAAGCTTCCCTTGTGTAAAGATCCAAAAGTTCTTAGACTGCTGATGGGCGCAGCCATCATGGATGTGATCTGAGCAGTCCCAGAGTCTCAGAGCTGTCACTTAAAGTACAATTAAACTTTTTTTTTTGCATATATCTACTGCTAGCAAGCGGTAGATGTATGCAAAAACATTTTTTTTAAATGTAAAAAGTTACCAAATAGGTAAAAACTTACCTGTGTCTCTGCCACTCACTCCCTTCCGAAGATCTGAAAATTCTCGAGCGGCCATGAAGCATCATGGGGCGGGCGCATGCCCAGTAGAGATCTTCGGCCGGTAGAAGAGGAGAGACACAGGGTAAGTACATGCATGCAGTCTGCACTGTATCAGAGACCGACACGAGCACTGGAGAGACTCCTGAAAACGACTGGAAAGAAGATGATCGGATCAAGAGGCATAATTTAAGGTAAGTCCTTACACCAACATTGGGGGGAGGGATGTCACTTTAAATGACACTCTATATTGTTCCCCTTTGCTACTCCCCTGGCAGCTTCATTGAAGGCTATGTAGGGTGGTAAATTAAACTGGCGGAGGAGTTGGGCCAGCACAGAGAGAAAATAGACATTTCCCGAAGAGGATAGGGCTATCACGCGCAAGGAGGGGGGCTGTGCTAGCAAATTTGCTAGCAAGTTCAAAGGCACATTGCAAGTGAATAAAAAATAATTTATGGAGAAAGGGAAAAAGCTGTAAGTGAACACATAAAATACTGGATTTTTCAGGGATTTTACTCACATTTTTTAAGTTGGTAAAGGGGTTTATTTCAATGTATTCTTAATAAACCCTACTGAATAATTATTTACAAATACTAGGACACCCCAGGGATGTACTGTGGAATCTCACTTAGCCACAGGTTGTAGCTAAAAAGTAATCTGCTTTAGGTTTTTCAGTCACTTGTCTTATTGGCCTCTGTTTGGCTTCTGTTGTGTCTTTCAGGTTGGGGACCAGATAGTGGAAATTAATGGAGAGCCCACACAAGGCATCACTCACACACGGGCCATTGAGCTGATCCAAGCTGGTGGGACAAAAGTTCTCCTGTTACTAAGGCCGGGGACAGGGCTTATTCCAGATCACGGTGAGTATCAATCATATTGCTAAAATGCAGTATTTGTGGATTGCCGGCATACAAAAATGAAGAATCATGCAGTGGTGACAACCATTGTGTGGTTTGATGCATTCCTAATAAGAATATGTAGGAATTTGTGGCAGTGCTTCAGCACAAATACAAAGTGCCTAATTCCTAGTGTACCTAGGTAGAAGAAGACATCAGCTGACAAAATAGCTGCCTTCAGTATATGTAGGTGACAGGTACATTTTGACAACATATTTGGATGTTCGCTTTGCATGATGAGTATCTGTAAAAGAAAACACATTACTATTAAGTGATTTGCTTTCAGCTGTAGATAAGGAGCACGAGGCAACAAATGACAACTGCACTCGAATAGACAACATCCTATGATCTACCTAGGTTATCACTTAAAAGTGGAACTCCAGCCAAAACTTATGTTAAACAGCATGGAAATTACCTCAAGTATTTATTTTTGTATGGAGTGGAAATCTCTCCACAGTTAGGGGAAATCCCACAATTGACAGACACTAATTTATCCCCATTTGAAGACTTCCCCTCACTTTCTGACTCATGTCAGCGGTCACAATGACAAATAATATTTGGGTCTGGCAGGAGATAGTGAAAACAATGCAGAAGCAGTATTTTGCATACAAAAATTTAAATAAGAAGGGTAAATAGAAGATTTTTGAAGGTAAGGGGAAAGTTCATTTTCTCGGTGTAGGGGAAGCGTGCAAGAGTTTTACAGTGGACAGTATCTTCCGGAAAGGCCTTTTGAGAGTATGGTATTGCCCAGTATGTGCGTGAGAAAACTGCAGAAGGTATGAGGACAGACAGTGTAAGGAGAAGAGAGCAAACGGTATGACTGTGGCCAGTATGTGATGATGAGAATTAGGAAGGGTATGTCTACAGACAGTATCTGCATGGGAAGGGCATGGTAGTGGGCAGTATGTGCAAGGAAAGATTGCAGAGGGTAAAACAGTGGGACATAGACGCAGGAGAGGAGTACAGAAGGTATGACAGTGGACAGTATTTGCAGAAAATTAGTGCAGGGGGATATGACTGCAGTAGGGCTGCAACTAACTAATCGATTAATAGATTATGAGAATAGTTGTCAACTATTCTCATTATCGATTAGTTGGTTGGATCCCCTAGCTCTCTCCTCCATGCTGGGAGGAAGGCACAGCAAGCAGTGGGCAGGTGCAATAGCCAGCCTGCTATTGGCTACTGCAGTTTGAAATGATCAATAGCAGACTGGCTATTGCACCAGCCCACTATCTGCTGTATTTACATTGAGCTGCCCTCATTCCCTGGCTGAAGCTATTCAAGCGCCACGTGCTTAACCACTTGCCGTCCGCCCGTTGTAAAAAAAACGGACGGACGGCACTGCAGCATTGGTGGGTGCATTGGCGCGCACGGGCAGAAAAGACCCGACCAATGCAAACACCCGTTACCGGGTGTTTCACATATAGGCGGTCGGCGGCTCCATAGCCCGCCGATCGTCTATATGTGCTTGTTTTTTCGGCACCCCTCACCTTGAATCCCGGTATCCGCTGCCCCATCAGCGGCCCGGGACCGGCTCGGAGGGCGTCAGGAGGAAGAGGAAGGGAGATCAGCTACTTGCTGACCTCCCTCCGGGCTGTGAATGCAGAAGTGATGTGTGTTACATCACTTCCGCATTCACCTGTCAGTCATCTGGCTGCTATAGCCAGAGAAAAGAAGCTGATGAAGCAGATCTCAGCTTCTTTTGGGGTCCACAGGTGACATTAGGGGTCCTGGGGACCCCTAATGTCTCCATAAAGAGGACCTGTCAGTGTGCCTTTGCTATTATATAGGGGGATTGTTATCCCCCTATATAATAGCAATAACAATAAGGGCAAAAAAAAAATATATAAATAAAAAAAATAAAAGTCACATATACAAAAGTAAAATAAAATAAAAGTCACATATAAAAAAAGTAAAAAAACCACCCCAAAAAATGTTTAACTCCCCCACTCCCACGTTTACCCAGATATAAACGTAAATACGCGTCCGGTGCACCAGCGCGCAAAAACGACAATTGCGCTACACACGTTGCATATCGCCGCGAACGTCGGAATGAGAGCAATAGTTCTAGGGCCATCAATCACTGATAACACCTAACTGATGAGCGGTAAAAGCTTTTAAAGCGTCGCCTATGGCCAATTTTGGGTATTATCGTTTTTTGAGGTTT